AGTCAGCTCAACTGTAAATTGGTGAAACTTGGTCACCAGTCTAGTGCTGTGCTTAAATTTGAAGAGTCTAGGCACCATAGCAAAGAGCTCCTCTGAACAATTACCATGAATGTATTTATAGAAAAGGCAAAGGGAAGCAACCTTACAGTGGTGGGAAAGTGACTGAAGCTGAGAGGCCAGGTTGAGACCAATGATATTGCTGATTCTTCTTTGGATTTTATCAAGGAGCTCTAGATAAATAGCAGGAGCTCTGGAGGATATGTGGCAGCAATATTCTCAGCATGAGCAAATAAAAGACTAATAGATATGTAAAATAGACTCTAGAGAGAAAAACCATTTAGCACTACAGAGTAAACCAAACATCCTGGCAGCTGACCATAACAATGGATTCAATATAGTCTTTCCTCTTTCTGTCAGGTGAGAACGTTAGCCCAAGGAGCCACTGCAAGTCCCTCAGCTGGAGGTCAGCATCAACCATGCTAATGTAAGTTTATGTAATGAAAGAGAAAATCACCTACCTCGAAAAAGAGTTCATGTTTTTGTGCATAGTCTGCAGAAGGAAAATTAAAGAAAATTATTAACACAAAAGCTACTACTTTAACTAATGTTTTTTTTCCTTATCTAGTGTGGCAAATCAGAAAAATCACTTGATGAATAAACGCTATTGCTTTTGCTTACCAGACAGAACGATTGTGAGTTTGGTGAATGACAATGCATTTGGATTTCTGACCCCGATTTTTTGCTACATTGCCTGCTGGGCTGTTCACTACAGATTTGCATATTGGCACACTAACTGTTTTTTTTTGTTACCCTAAATGATTTAGTAAATCACTATTAGGTGCCAACCAGATTAATCTAACGTTTACAGTTAAGTGATATTAAGAGAAGTAGAAGTCTTATCAGGATTTATTACTGGTAAACACAATAATAACAATATCAGATAAGCAGATCACACTGTGTAGACAGCAAACAAAGAAAAAAAAGTGTTGGAACTTCTACTCAAGATAGTAAAGGAAACTGAGAAGAAAGGACCTTCAATTATTAAAAGGCAATTGTTAGACTCTATGGTCGTTAACAAGTGTAACAGCTCTTGTCAAAATCAAGTAAGTACAGAAATTTAATTATTTGGGGAATGTTATGTGAATATATTTGGGAAAGTGACAGAAAATATGACAGAGAAATCATAAGGTACACTGGGATGTGAAAAATGCTGAGAATACCATGTACAGAACATGTAAACAATAAGGAAGTTTTAAGAAAAATAGTAAAAAAAAGAACATTAGCATTTGTAGTTAGAATCAGAAAGAGAAAGTTGACATTTTTTGGACACATAACAAGAAAATAGGGGTTGGAGAATTTGACACTCACAGGCCATACAAAGGCTTACATAAATATTCACCCCCCACCTTGAATTTTTTCAAATTGCATGTTACAAATTGGAATTCTAATTGACTTAAATAGTGTTTTTACTATTTGATCAACACAAAATGCACGGTGCTTTGTAGGTGCAAAATACATTTTATTGTAACAGAAACAGTAGTTATGACAACAAAACAGTTATATCCTGGATGCATAAATATATCCCCCAAACCTAAGAATCAATACTTTGTAGAACTCCATTTTGTTGCAATTACAGCTGCAAGTCTCTACCAGCTTTGCACATCTAGAGACTGAAATTTTGGGCTGTTCTTCTGTGCAAAATAGCTCAGATTGAATGGAGACCATCTATGAAGAGCAATTTTCTTGCCACAGATTCTCAATAAGATTTATGTCTGAGCTTTGAGAGGGACATTCTAACTGTTTTAATATCCTTTGATTTCAACTACCTCATTGTACCTCTAGCTTTTTTCTTGCCACTCTTCCATAAAGACCAGATATGTGGAGTGCACGACTAATAGTTGTTCAGTGGACAGAATCTCCCACCTGAGATGCTGATCTTTGCAGTTCCTCCAGAGTTACCATGGACCACTTGGTTACTTCTCTGATTAATTCTCTCTTTGTCCATCCTGTCAGTTTAGGTCTATGAATTTGTCTTATTAGGTTTGAAGTTGTACTATACTCTTTCCATTAAAGAAAATATGTGCTCTAATAAGATTTCTTGAATATTCAGGTTGATAGATGAAAATAAATATACTGTTTAATAAATAAATGAAGCATCTACTCAAATATGTCTCTACCAGTTTTGCACATTCTGAGAATGAAAATTTTGCCAATTCCTCTCTAGAAAATAGTTCAAGCTCAGTTAGATTGGATTGAGCACATCTGTGAACATAAAGTTTCAAGTCTTGCCACAGATTCTGAATTGGATTTAGGTCTGGGCTTCAGGTTTCTTTTGAATATTGCCCTGTATTTGGCTTTACATCCATCTTTGCATCAACTCTGACTAACTTCCTTGTCCTTGCTGATGAAAAACCTCTACATAGCATAATGTTACCATTACCATGTTACATGATGGAGATGGTTTGCTCAAGGTGATGTAGAGTATTAGGTTTCTGTCACACATAGCATTTTGCATTAAGGCCAACAAATTCAATTTCAGTCTCATCTGAAAAGATTACCTTCTTCACATGTTTGCTGTGTCTTCCATGTGGTTTAACTATAAATGAGACTTTGTATGGCTTTCTTCTTACCATTCTTTCATAAGGGCCAGATTTATGGAGTGCATGATGAATAATTGTCCTGCAAACAGATTCTCCCACCTGAGCTGTGTATCTTTGCAGCTTCTCCAGAGTTACCATGGACTTCTTGCTTGCTTCTCTGATTAATTCTCTCTTTCTCCATCCTGTCAGTATAGGTGGATGGCCTTGTCTTGGAAGATTTGCATTTGTACCATACATTTTTCATTTTCAGAAGATGGATTTAATAGTACTGCATAAGATGTTCAAAACATGGGATATTTTTTATAACCTAACACTGCTTCATACTTCTTCACAAATTTATCCCTGACCAGTCTGAAGTTCCTTGCTCTTCATGATTCTGTTTGTTTGGTAATGCTCTGTAAGAAACCTCTGAGGCCTTCAAAGAATAGGTGTATTTAAATGGAGGGGGCAGAATCAAGGATAATAACTATTTTCCTTTATTTAAAAGAAATCAGCATAATCTGTTGGACTCTATTTAATAATTATATGATTTCTGAAAGCAATTGGTTGCACTGGATTTACAGTAAAATTGGAATCAATACATATGTACTCAATACTTTTCAGATTTTTATTTGTAAATAATTTTGAAAATCATGTCATATTCCAACCACACACTTAAAAATGATTGATTATTTTGGGTTGGTCCATTTTGGGTTGGTCCATTAATAAAACCCTAATAAAATACATAGGTAGGTGACCATTTGGGAATAACTGGTGTTGTAAGCTTGGATGTTTCAATTCCAGTTGAGTTCATCATATTCATATACATGCAAATACCCTTGAGAAAGGTATGAATCCACATCTTCTCCCCCCATTTATAGGTTAATTAGTAAGACTTGTATCAATAAAATCATTATTATCTCAAAAATATTCTTACAAGCTAAAAATATTTTCTGGCTTTAAATAACTGCTAAAAAGTTGATAAGCTGTAAAAAATGAATGAATCAATCAAAGAAAATAAATCTAAATTTGTAGATGTAACATGAAAAAATGTGGAAAAATTCAAGGGGAGTGATTGCTTATGCAAGTCGCTATATTGAAGGCAAAATGGACAGAGGTAAAAAATTGGTTAATGTGGTGTAAATGGATGGTAAAACATGAACTGGGGGATAATAATGGAAAAAACATTGCTTAAAGCTGAAAACAGAGGAAGTTGTGGAGACCCCATAACTGGCCACTTACTGAAGGGATATAGCACATAAAAGAAGATGGTTTTCAAGAAATTAGGCATAAGTTTTGGTCTGTTTCCCACAAATGCAACATTGCTAGCATGTCACTAATCTTTCACTATTTCCATAGTGAATGTTCTGATGAACGACACCCTTTCAGACAGGGGGGAGATACTGTTACATCCACGAAGTCAAATCACCCACATGTACTCCATATTTCATTTTAAGAAAATGATGTTCCACTCAGACACATTTTTCTGAACACTACAATCTTAATCTCATCAAGTCAAGTGTCAGTTGTTATCTATCCTGCTTATCCTCACAATATTCCCTTCCTTGTATCTCATGTTCATATCACAACCAATAACAAGGTCCTCTCTCAGACATCTCTCCCCAGCATCGAAGCTACCATCCTTCAACATCATCTCTGCTGGCTGGGTCACATGTCCAAAATGCATCCCACTTGACTCCCATGTATCATCTTGTTTAGAGAACTCACCAGTGGCAAGAAGCTATGCAGAGACCCAAAACAATGCTTCAAGGATCAGTTGAAAACATCCCTGACACAGGCTAACATTGATCTTGAGACCTGGAAAACCACTGCTGCAAATCGGCCTTCCTGGCAGAGAACTATCCAAGTGTGGACTGAAACTTTTGAGTTCAACTGTCAACATGAAGAGGATCTGCAACATGCTGTCAGGAGAACCTGATTCCTCCAGCCGCATTCACCACCCATACTCCTCTGTGGCTCCTGTTCATGACTCTTCAGGAGTAGGCTGAACCTTCACAGCCATCTCCATCACTATCACCAGAGTGAAGACAAGGATTAAGGAGAGATGATGACGATCCCAATGCTCGCATGTCAGCAGGTGTCAATGTGATATTACATTACCTCCTTAACCATCTACCTAGGTTAGCTTTTGAGCCTTGGATTGGATGAATTTTAATATAAAGAAGGATATGGGTTATATGCTGTTTTGTAGCTGAAAACTTGCTATATACATGTATATGCATTATTGTGTTCATTCTGTTTTATTTTCCATGAAAATAAAAAGGTGGCATTACTTTCTGAGCTTCCCTTATATATATAATTTTGCATAGTACTGTATTTTGAGTGGCGGTCATTCTTTATGTGTGTGTGTGCATGTGCATGTGTGTGTGTGTACAAGCACCATTTTAGAAAACCATTTTAATGTCTGTCTCAAAGCCATCTCTTCATTATTTTTCTCTTCATCCCTATACGATCCAATCATTTACCAAAGAAAATAAGACGCGAACCAATGAAGTTCGTCACATTTTTACTTTTTGTGATTAGAGCAAATGTACGCATAACCACTTTCCACAGTTGAGTGATTTTTCAATTTCAACCTTTCCATAAAACAAATTTGGCACTCCAAACTAACATGGTACTCAAAGAAATCTATTTTGCTTTTCTTTTGTCTTTCTTTTCTGTCATTTTCCTTCATCATTCCTGTTTTTTCTCTTTTTAGCATATTTCTCTTCTTTTTTTCTTCTCTCTACCTTTTTTCTTTCCCCCAATCACTTTTGACTCTCTTTTTCTTTTTTCTTCCTACCTCCACCTGTATTATCATCCATATTGTTTTTTCTCTCATTTTCTTTATTCCCTTTCCTCTCTATTGAGCATCTTTTTTTCCTCTTCCTTTATACTTACACCTCTCTTTTGACCACCTTTTTCTTTTTTCCTTCCACACTCTTTCTTTATCACATCCCTCTCTTTTTACCACTTTTTATTCTTTTCTCCTTTATTCTCATCACCCTCTTTTGACCACCTTTTTTCTTTTTTTCTTCCTACCTCCTCCTTTATTCCCACCCTCTCTCTTTACCACTTTTTCTTCTTTTCTTTCTTTCGCTTCCTTTCTATCCATTATTTTTTGTGCTTCTTCATTATTATTTTCACCATTGCTTCACTTTATGATTTTCTTTCTTTTTATCCTCCTCTCTCTTCCACCTTATCTCCTTTCACCAATTTCTTTCATTTCTTTTTTTCTTTTCCTCTGGTTCTTTCTTTCTTTCTTCCCCATTGCTCTTCCTCTTTTCTCTTTTTCTTTTCTTTTTCTTTTCTTTTTCTTTCATTTCCATTTTTTCCTCATTTTCCAGGGCTATTATCATCTTCTGCTACAGTCTATGAATTTCTCTTGGTCACTTCATAGCCTCTGGGAAATTTTCTAATCTCTGAAAAGACAATTAGATTTTAAAATAACAGCAAATATACATACATGCATACATATAAAAGTACATCTAAAAGATGTTAAGCATATGAATAAAGTCCTTTTTTAGGCAGAAATCTGTTGTCTAGAAACAGATCAAGGCTTCTTTGATTTGATGGAATATTAATTTAACGCTAAAGTATTCTTGTAGATTTGGCTTTTTTTTTTTATAAGAGATGAGAATATAAGATCACATTTTTATAAAGAAAAGACTGCAGATGTTGAAATTAAAATTTCTTTTATAACTTTATCCTTTTTTCCTTTCTGTAAAAAAAAAGTTGTTTTCATCATTTTCGCTGCGGAAAAGCTTCTCAACTTTTATAACTGACTTTGCTGTTCCTCTCAACAGGTAATTCTTAGTTGCTTTGTTGATTATTCAAGATAAAACATTGTTGGATTAACTAACAAAAGAACTAAAGAGAGAGAAATAAATAACAGTAGAGAGGGAAAGGTGGAAGAAAGAAAGAGAGACTGGAAAAAAGAAAAAGAGAAGTAGAATTGGAAAGATAAAGGAAATTGAAAAAGGAGGGGGTAAAAGAATTTCAGAAAGAAAAGGAGGAAAAATGTTAATAATAGAATAAAATAAGAGAAAAGGAAAAGAAAGAAAAAATACAAATAAAAAGAAAAATTGAGAATAAAATAAAGAGAAAAGAAAGAAAGAAAGAAAAATTGAGAATAGAATAAAGAGAAAAGGAAAAGAAAGAGAAAATAAAAGATAGATTTAAGGGACAAGTAAAAGAAAAGGAAAAGAAAGAAAGAGAAAAAAGAAAAAAAATTGAAAATAGAATAGAATTTATTTTCAATTTTTTGTCTTTTTTCAGCAAAGGAAATAAAAAAGAAAGAAAAATTGGAAATAAAATCAAGAGAAAAGGTAAAGAAAAATAGAAAAAAGAAAGAAAAATTGAGAATAGAATAAAGAGAAAAAAAAGAAAGATAAAAAAGAAAGAAAGAAAAATTGAAAATAGAATAAAGTAAGAGAAAAGGAAAAGAAAGAAAGAGAAAAAGAAAGAAAGAGAAAAGGAAAAAAAATGAAAATCAAAGAAAGTAAGAGCAAAGGAAATAAAAAAGAAATAGAAAAAGAAAGGAAAATTAGGAATAAAATAAAGTAAAAGAAAAGGTAAAGAAAAATAGAAAAAAGAAAGAAAAATTGAGAATAGAATAAAGAGAAAAGGAAAATAAAAAAGATAAAAAGAAAGAAAGAAAAATTAAAAATAGAATAAAGTAAGAGAAAAAGAAAAGAAAGAAAGAAAAATTGAGAATAGAATAAAGTAAAAGAAAAGGATAAGAAGGAAAGAGAAAAAAGAAAGAGAAAATGAAAATAGATTAAAGTAAGAGAAAAGGAAAGAAAGAAAAAATACAAATAAAAAGAAAAGGAAAAGAAAGATAAAAAAGAAAGAAAAGAATAGAATAAAGTAAAAGAGAAGGGGGAGAGAGGGGAAAAAGAGAGGAAAAGTAAAAATGTATTATAAAATGAAGTAAATGAAAAAGAAGAGGGAAATAGGATAAAGAAGGAAAGAAAAGAAAAGTATGAAAGAAAGAGAGAGTGAGAAATGATGAGATGAGTTCAATCTCTGTATTGAGTCGTACAATACAACATCAGCTCATTAGAGAAAGAAGAGCAACACAAAGTGAGACATTTAAAAAGCCTGAGATACTGAACAAAAACTGAGAATTGCACAGATAAAATACAGGGTGCAATGTATAAATTGTCATCTAAATTATACAAAAATGAAAATAATACTGACATCTCATTTTAACAGATATTTTTACTAAAATTGCACAAAAATATCTTGAAATATTAAAGAGTAAATTTATTCAATAAAATCGCCATTGCCTTCAACCACAGCCTCCAGATGACTTCAGAATCTCCTGCAAATCTTCTGGACAGTCTCCTTGTTTAATTTGGTAAATGATGCCATCATCCTTGCCTTCAGTTCATCTTTGGTATTACAAGCAGTTTTGTTGGTCTCTCACTCAGTTGTGTCCCACTCATAACAAACAAGGGTCTTTCAGTCTGGCAAATTAGGTGGCCAGTTGTAAGTGCCTGACAGACATGAGTGGGTTCTCATACTTGTATAGCACAGTGCAAAGTTCAGTTGTCAGACATAGGGTCTTCCAGCAGCCACTCTCTTGATCCATGGCAGAACTACCTCCTCAAGGCACTTGTAGGTCTCTGTAATGAGTCTGAGGCCCTCACCAACAAATTTGAGAGTTCATTTCTTATTAGAATGATCAGAGTGAGTTTTCCAAGCTGCTGTACATTCATAATCACCATTAGACTCATCCAACCCCTTCCAAATCTTCTGTACTGCCCTCAAATTGACACCCAAATATACTGAAATGCTCATATTGGAGTTTCTGGCATGAATGTCAAGCAGTACAGGATGCTGCATCAAAATTACTGGCAGCATGAATTGCATCATGTTGCTCTTTTTCTCACAGATGATGCTCAACTGACCCTACTATATAGTGCAGTCAATAAAATCAAAAACAAACAACATGCATGTGCAAAATTAAAGATATAAAATGGCAACAAGTTACCTATCACACCTTGTACAGGGTTAAAAATTTTCTTGTGAGTATAAAATTTTATTATCACAGCCTTTTTTGCAAAGGAAACAAGAGGCTTTTAGATCACAGCATGATTTGCATGTGATATATTTCACTACATATATGTCTTATGGTTTGAGTTGGTTGCATTCAGATTTTCATTTGAAATTAATACAATAATAATTATTGTTTTACAGCCTTCTCTCTCCAAACAGAAGGTAAGGCTTTTAGGTCTCAATGTCATTTATCTGCAAGATGTTTAAATACATTTAATGGCTATAATAAAATACAGATTTCCATCTGTCATTCATATAACACAACTAGTGACAATGACATTACATGATCAAAATGTCCAAGACAAAGATGCAAGTCAAGAAGAGTGATTGTTGCTAACAGAAGAGAAAGATGAAAAAAATAGAGTTATATAATAAAGAGGAGGGAAAAGAGTTGGAGTGAAAGAATGTTGCTGAGAGAGAGAAAAGTGAGAGAGAGAGTTGAATGAGAATGAATACAGATTAAGAGTAATACTACAGAGCAGGGAAAGAAAGAGAGAGGAAAAGAAGGAAAAAGAGAGAAAATAAAGAGAATGCAATGAAAGCAAGAAAGAAAGAATGAAGAAAGAAAGAAAGAAAGAAAGAAGGAAGAAAGAAAGAAAGAAAAGAAAAGAAAGAAAAGAAAAGAAGAAAGAAAGAAAGGAAAGAAAAGAAGAAAGAAAAGAAGAAAGGAAAGAAAGAAAAAAGAAAGAAAGAAAAGAAAAGATAGAGAAAAAGAACAGAGAATGAGAGCAGAAGAGAAGAAGAGGAAAGAGAAGAGAAAAGTAGAAATGGTTAATTAAATGCTAGATTGAATGGGGAGAGTGAAGGAGAATAAATACTAACCAAGGAATCTTTTACACTCCTGCTCCCCACTATCATCATTTATAAAAAGAAAAAGATAAATTAAAATCTTACATCTGCAAACTTCCATAACTTTGAAGGTTTAAACAACTAAAGAAAAAAAATGGCACAAGTAAAACCAAATATTAATGATTTTTTGGTTGTTCCATTTTCTACAATTCCTCATTTCTTTTAGGCTTTTTTTCTGTTTCAATCTTCGTTCTTCTTTCCATTTCAAATATCCTTTTGTTTACCTTTGAGTTTGACTGAAATGGTCCAGAATCAGTCACCGGGGACAAGGTAGGCATTGGAAGAATGGTGTCTTTGAAAAATAAGAATCCATATCAAGGGACTTTATAATTATTGGTAACAGAATACCAGAGACTGATTTGGTATTATGGCATCTAATCATTTCTCTATGTATCCCAAGCAAAACCTGAATTTATTTTATATATCTATAAGCCACTTTTTTCTCTCTTTTTCTAAACACACACAAACACACATGCACACACAAACACACACTCACACATATCTATGCATCTTTATTCATAAACAGAAAAAAAAATATATATATATATATATATATATATATATATATATATATATATATATATATATATGTATATATATATAAAGAGAAATATATATATATATAAAGAGAAACAGAGGATACAGATGGGGATATAATATAGAGAGTGTAAAAGAGATCAGGTATATGTAGCTGTGTATATTTACATATGTGCAGACATACACACACAGGCACACACACACAGACACACACACAGACACACACAAACACACACACACATATATATATATATAGACATATAATCAAATGAATAAATATAAGTAAATGTACAAGCAAGTGTTCTTATACAAATACATATCTATCTATCTATCTATCTATCTCTCTATATATATATATATATATATATATATATACATATACACTATAGTGTAGGAAAACAGTGCTCAATGTTAAATAACAAAGGCATTTAATATATTAAAATATATATATATTTTATATATATATATATATATATATATATATATTTATATATATATATATATATATATATATATATATATATATATATAAAAAATATATGTATATATCTATTCAAAATATTAAAAAATCTATATAGACATTTCTATTTAATGTCTGCTTATATATAGGTAATCCTTACTATATAAAAATATATTTATATGTATACACCTACACATCTCTGTTTTTCTTTCTCCCTTTCTATATATATTGGTAATATATACACAATATATATATATATATTGTGTATATTTAGGCAAATATTTTCATTCAAACAGGTTTGCCTAAATTATTTAGCCAAATCCTGTTTGAATATATATATATATATATATATATATATATATATATATATATATATATATATGTATGTATGTATGTGTGTGTGTGCATGTGTATGTGTGTGTGTATGAGAGAGTGAGAGAGCAGATGTTTTAAAGATTTCAGTTCAACCCATTACCCAAAAATCAGTTATGTTTGTGGTCATTGAAATACTTGCTGTAGGGAGTGATTTGTACTGAGAACTTTCCAGCACTTTCTTATAATATATATATATATTATAATTTTTCATATAGACAAAAACAATTTACTGATAACAAAGATGCAACTTTGTTTTGTTACATTTAGTTGCATCTCAAGTGGTGAGAACTAAAATGGTTATGAACAATTTTGTTTGTAAAACAAAATTCTCACCAGTTGAGGTGCATCTAAATGCACCAAAACAAAGTTGCATCTTTGTAATGAGTAAATTGTTTTTGTCAATATGAAAACATTATAATAAATAATTATTGCTGAGAAGGTTAGAATTTATATATTATTTTTATTTTCATTACATTCGGATATATATATATATATATATATATATATATATATATATATATATATGCACAAATTTGAATAAACTTTCTCTCACTCATACATAGGCACATATATATCCATACATGTATACATATATGTGTATACGTTTATGTGTGCATTTATATATATTTACAAATGATATCTAATGTAACAGATACCTTTCTGTTGAATTACGAAACGAAAGAAAACCCCATGCATTCTATAGCCAATGTAAAGAAGTAGTTAATATATATATATATATATATATATATATATATATATATATATATATATATATATTGCAACTTGCAGCATCAGGTTGACATCTTGATCAAAATGGCTGTAGGTGGAAACAAACTAAAAGACATTACCCTCTGAAATCAATAATAATATTGATTCTTTCAAGACTAGCATATAAATATATTTGGGCTTTTAGAATTATCTCTGTTGTTCCTCTTGCAACATTTAGTTTGATATGGTTTCAGATCATCCCAAGGTGCCATTTTGTCTCTGCCCTCAGCACTGGTCAGTTTCAGCTTTCCAATGGGAATATAACAGAGTTTGTTATTAAGTTGGATGTAACAGGGTTAATGTTAATAACAGGAATTAAAATGCATAAAACATACAACAATAAAAGCATGAGACACATGTTGACATAAATGAAAAGAATTTGTATTTTTTTTTTCGTGATTTGAATTTGTATGGTGTGTGTAAAAATGTTCCCAGTGTATCTTTTGTTTAACAGTTCTAGTTTACTTGGTTTGGTTCTGAGAATTTCGTTTGTGAGGGTGGCATTTGAAATTGTCTGTTTTTAATCTTCTCAGAGTGCTGGCTAGACATGTGTTTCTGTAACTGCTACTGCTACGTGTCTACTCATCACTGACTACTGCTACAGTTACCCTAATCTACTCTACAGTTTTTTTTACTCTCCCTTGTGGTGAAAGGGTCGTTTTTATAACGATGAGGCCTAGGATAATGAAATATCCTTGTTTTCTGTCATCTGATACAGCTAAATACATATATCCAAACATTAAATTTATAAAGATTTTATTATTTATTGTATATTTTATCAGTAAAATATAGGTAAAAATGCATGTTGTATTATATTTTACCAGTAAAATATAGGTAAAAATGCATGTTGTATATTTTATCACTAAAAT